ATAAAATAAACGTGGCGTGGCAGGGCGGGGGCCCTATTACCCGTACTTGCCTCGAGGAGAAATTTTCCTCCCCGCACCCACCCAATTATCGGATTAAAGGGGCAGGGGCAGCGGGTATTTGATTTAATGGATATTTTAGCCATCTCTATTAATCCATGACTTGTAAGCTTGAGATTGGTTCAAGGGTGTCTCTTTTTGAGCTCTATTCTCATAATTAAAGTAAATTATAACTTTTTTTTCCCTTCATATTTTTCAATTTGTAAGTAAAGTAGATTAAATTGTTTTTGAGTTTTGTACAATTTCATTTTCTAGTTCCTATTTCGTCCTATTTTTCTAAAAGTCATTTGTTCTCATACTTGTTTTCAATAACAAATTTTACAGGAACCACAACTTCACAATCATACATTCCATCAACTTTTATCAAAATTCACTATAAAATTTAATTTTTATCTAAACCAAAGACGGATTTAAGGCATGTTTGACATGACTTTTGAAATTCAAAAGCTAATTTTGGATACGTTTTACTAATTTTATGAAAGTGCTTAATCTACTTAAAAGAGGTTTTAGAAGAAGCCATTCAAATGTGGTTTCCTTTAAAAATATTTTTGAAATAGGAATCTCTTTTGAAAATTAATTTTCAAACAAATAAAAGTAGCTTCCTCTAAATGTTCTTCTATAAAAAGCAAAAGCAAAAGTCATATCAAAACTTAATTATTGAACAACTTATAATTGCAAGAATAAAGAGTGGTACAGAATTGATCTCTTGTCCATAGTGGGTAGAAGATATATTGTTCCACATCCCCAGTCGGGTTGCAGGGTTGCCACATCATCATAATATTAGACCCCACCGATGATGTAGGGCAATATATCTCTTGTTCATTTTGAGCAGGATCCGTTTTGAAGCGTGATAATTTAACCATAAAAGAGAGTTCTAAAATGTAGTGTGGAGAAGTGAGAAAAGCAAAAAGGTTGACAGGGCAAAGTGCTTCATTGACATTGTCCCCCTCTTTCGCGTGGGGAGTGAGGGGTGGGAGTGCATGGGTTACATCTTTTTTCTTTGTCCTTCATTTTCTTTGAATTCTCTCGTATTTATTTTTGTTAATATTATTCATTATATAATTTTCCATTCATATTATATTAACCGCAAAATAACCGACCTCTTCACATAGAGATTATTTGTGCAACAATAGTAGATAGCCAATATCCAAACCATTATACTTTAAAGCTTGACAACCAACTTGCTCCAAAAATCATCCAACACTACAATTTTCGATACAAATAAAACAACAAATGTCATTGAAAAGAGTAAGTTGCATTTTGCTCGTGTGGGAGAAATTATTGAAAATGTAATTTTTTAATTTTTTTTTAAAAAAAGTAACTTGTGTAAAAAAGTAGAAAAAAAGTTAAGAAAAATGTTTTTTTTTTTTTAAAACTAAATGTGTGGTTAAAAATGGGTGTAGAGAAAAATAATTTTTAATCACTCCCACACAAGGACTTCATTTTCTTTACGATGCTCATTGCCTTTTCGGATAGATCGATGCTTTTAGCTCGATTCTTTACTCATTTCAAGAATCGTTCAATCATACATTTTACTATTTTTTTCCCCAACATTTACCGATTAAGATGGTCCCATAAAACTCTTTCATTTCTTGAATTATTCTTACAAAGCAAACAACATTATATAATACATACTAGAAACTTCCTCAAATCTATAAGGGTTCGTTTGATTGTAAAAATGAAATTTGGGTGGAAAAAAACAAATTTCGGAGAATTGAATTGTCTAGAATTTGTTTTACTAGAAATTGTCGATTAAATGTGTTTGATTAGTATAACTTTTCACCTGAAAAATGTTGAAATTTTGAATTTTTTTGTGTTCGTTTAGCTTTATTTTTTTATGAAAATTGTCAATTAAATGAATGTATTTTTTTTTACAGTTGTTGATACAATTTTTTTCCATCGCAAAAAAGAAAAAAAAAATAAAAAGGTTGGAAAAGAAAAAGTTGGAAAAGCCATTTTCTCACTAAAATCCAAAGAATTGGAATTCCTTCAAAACCAAGAAAATGAGCCCACGTGATGGAGAAGTGGAAAATGTTTTCCCGAGAATTTTGGGAATCAAACAATTACAATTGGGTAGAAAATGGAAATTTTCCATGGAAAATGGCTCTATTAAATATACCCTAAGGTAGTGTTTGATTAGAGGTGAAATTACATAGAAAATGGAATTGGAATTCCACCTTTCAATTTAATGGTGTTTGATAGCATTTTAATGGCCTAGAATTGCATTTCCATGTTTTGTGCTACATCAGCCCAATTCCACCAAATGAAGGTGGTGAGAATTGCAATTTTAGGTTACTGTAGTGTTTTTAAAATTTTTTCGATTTTTTTTTTTTTGGTTGTGTTGTGTTGGCAATAAAGACAAATTCTAAGAATTATTGTAAAAAAATATTTTTTTTAATTGACAATTTTCATGTAAAACAAAGCCAAACGAACATAAAAAGATAGATGATTTTCTTGAAATTTTTGTTTTTTTTTTGTTTTTTTTGTTTTGTTTTGGCAATGGAAACAAATTTCATCCTCAATACCAGTAAATTCTATCCCTTTAATTGACAATTTTCATGTAAAACAAAGTCAAACGGACATCAAAAAAATACTTTAATTTAAACATTTTCCACGTGGAATATTATACCAATCAAACACAATAATTTACAATTCCCAGGAAAACAATTTCCCATCAATTCAATTTTCTGAAATTCATTTTCTTTTCATCCAAATATCACATTTGCAATCAAACAGACCCTAAAAGTAATCCTACGTAGCCTACAACATCAATCTAGATAGGTTAAATAATAGATAAAATTTAATTTTACTTATCAATTAATTAGTCAACACCAACCCAACTAATATGTTCCCTAAAATTCACAATATCCCGCGTTCTCATGGCCCTTCTTTTATATACTTCTCTATCTACTCCACAAACACACACAAGAATTTGAACCATGAAATTTGAACCATAAAAGGCCAAAAATCACTAATAAATTATATGTTTATGAACCAAATGCAAACAAAGTAGCACCTGTTTTGAACCTGCCAAATGTTTGTAAAAGTCAATCTAGTGTTGTGGTCTTGTCCGCCACTTTGGTTTTATATTGCACATTCACACTCGTTTGTTTGATTATCAATTAATTGTAGAATTTGAATTTTACATTTGTCATAAAAAAGCAGCTTGCATAAAGAGACTTGTAATTGTTTCCGTTGATTTCGCTCAATTTGTAGTAAACCCTTCTGAACCCCAATACCCATTGAACGGTTCCGCAATTGGCGCACAAAGGTGGAGTCGGCAGTCATTAGTCTAGTGTGGGCTGTGAGAAGATTTTTTCTGTGTAATTGTGTCACGTATAAAAGCTCGATTTTGAATGACCTTGAGAAATTGTGATGCTTTCTCTAAATTAATATTGACCCGTGTCAACGGTTAACATTATTTCTTCTGGGTGGATCTTCAAAACACATTATCTCAAGATCATGGTGGTGGTGCCGGAGATGATGGTGGGGTGGTGAAACCTCATTTGCGCTAATGGGTTGTGTGACGTCCAAGCAAGCGGTGTCGGTAACGCCGGCGGCATTGGATAACTCCGGGGTGCTAACTGGAGGATCCGAATTGGGGTCTGGTCGGAGCCGATTGGGTAGCATTAGTGGGTTGGCTTTCAACTTGAAGAAGGTGAAGAAGAGGTCGCATGAGCCCCGGAGCGAGTTGGATGAATCGGGGCCGGCGAGTTCGAACGGGTGTGGGAGTGAATCAGTGAGTTTTAGGCTGGGAAACTTACATAGGTACGTCGAAGGGGAACAGGTGGCGGCTGGGTGGCCGGCTTGGCTTAGTGCGGTGGCTGGTGAAGCCATTCAGGGCTGGGTGCCAGCCAAAGCCGAGTCTTACGAGAAACTTGAAAAGGTTAGTTGATAGCATTTGTACTTATAATTATTAGCTTATTCAATAAGTAAAATTATGTATTTAATTATTGAAAATGTGACAGTTAGTACTAATTGATACTTATATAGTACTTGTGTCATATGTCTTGAGCTGTATTAAGAAAACTAATGACCAATTGTACAAGCATCCATTAATTTGATTCGTAGTGTTTCGGAGCCTACCCGAGTCGAGAAATTTTTATGCATGGGCTGGAAGAAGGCTTAGTTTGCCGAGTTCCTTAGAGAATGTTGTCTCGCGCCCCTAGACATTCTCCACATACCCACTTGTGTTTGTTTCGGGTAAAGGTACCCTTTTGTTTAAAGGTCATTCTAGCTTTGCTCTTTTATCCAATTAGAAAATTGGAAAAACAATGCTATGGCCTATGATTGTCATTTTTAGTAAATTTCTTACTAATGATATCTCATGAACTCATTTTAATTTTTCTGCTTATTTTTCAATTTGTGAGTGTTATATATATGCGATCAGAAGCAAAAAAGGATGGTAGGGAGCAATGAGGTTAATATTAACAGTTTATGCATTAAAATAAGTATTTACAGATTGGACATTCCAGTATTTTTCTGTATGATTAGAAGGATGACAAACGTGAAGCCAAAGAATCAGGGATCTCTGTGTCTGCTTATTTTGATATGCTTGTCACTAATGTTAACATTAATCATAGATGGAAATAAACGAAATTTTGGACGTGCATACTGATATTTTGTGCTAATTTGATCTTGAAGCAAGTTAACACACTTCCTTTATTGTATATTTATGTAATGAATTAGCTTATGTTTTCTGCTTGGGTTTTGCTTATATAACCAACTGCTGTTACGTAATACAATATGCAAAAAGTTTTCACGAACAATTTTCTAATGTAAACCTTTCCATATGCGCCATTTTTGCTACAAAACCTCCTCAAATTTCTCATTTTTTATGATTGGTTTGACAACTGATAAACACGTTATCTATATTTGGTTCATCTTTTTAACAGATTGGTCAGGGTACATACAGCTCTGTATTCCGAGCTCGTGACTTAGAAAGTGGGAAGATAGTTGCTTTGAAGAAGGTGCGATTTGACAATTTTGAGCCAGAAAGCGTTCGTTTCATGGCTCGAGAAATAATAATTCTTCGCCGGCTTGACCATCCAAATATTATAAAGTTAGAAGGAATAATTACCTCCAGATTATCATGCAGCATATATCTGGTGTTTGAGTACATGGAACATGACATCTCAGGGCTATTATCTTGCCCAGACATCAAGTTCAGTCAAGAACAGGTTTGGATATTTATGTGAAAGGATATACTTGTCTTTATGTGAGCACAATGGATGAGAACAAACTAATTTGATTACGAGGGTGATGTACACCTTAGATTGTTTAGAATCTTTAGATGACTCTAGAGCAGAAAAAAGACGATAACATTTTATATGGAAGCATTATAGTGTAAAATTAAAAATTTTCACAAGGAAAAAAGGAAAGGATATTTGTGTACTCTTCGAGAGTTAATGTGTGCATAACTAAGCCTCCTTTTGTGAAGAAATTATAAATGGTTTAATTTATAAATATACAGAAAAGAGGAATGGATGAGTGGATATTACTTATGGGTCCATTGGAATGTGTGGTTGGATATGAAGTTTTACCATTTATAAATGATATATATATATTTTTTCCAAATGGAGGCTAAAACATTTCACTGAAAATGATAAGAACTGTATTAGTTTTTGTCATTGCTTTTGGAGAATTAGTGAACTTTTGTTTATGTATGTAATAAGATCCGATTGGCTCATTTTACAGGTTAAATGCTACATGAAACAGTTATTGTTGGGTCTTGAGCATTGTCATTCACGGGGTGTAATGCATCGGGATATTAAAGGTGCAAATCTACTGGTAGATAATGAAGGAGTTCTGAAGTTGGCTGATTTTGGGTTAGCAAATTTCTGTAGCTACCGGCAGAAGCAACCTCTTACGAGTCGAGTAGTCACTTTATGGTATCGTCCTCCTGAGCTTTTGTTGGGCTCGACAGATTATGGAGCTTCAGTGGACCTCTGGAGTGTTGGATGTGTATTTGCTGAGCTTCTCATGGCTAGACCAATCCTTCAAGGAAGGACTGAGGTAATCACCATCCCGAATCATGTTCCAACTTTTAAATTTGCAGTGAAACACAGTGGATATGATGATGATGATAAAATTTTGCTGTAGTTTGAGCCATAAGTTTAATATTGCTAGAGAATATGATAATAATGCCTATGTGCAATAAAGCGTGGTTAGAAATTGTTTATAACCTGTTTAAATTTAGGTTCAATGCAAAAATTGTTATTGAATAAATTATAAGAAATTTTTTAAATCAAAACCAAATATTGTGAACAATGTGGATATCATTTGAAAATCAGTAGGTCATATTGAATCAAACTTTCAACTGATTTTGATACTTGGCATAAATAGATAGAAAAGAGTGTGGATAAGGGGATAGTATTTGTAGGTCCCTTCAAATATGATAAAATATGTCTTGAGCGTTTATAAACAGTATGAACATGAGCCAATCTTTTTTTTTAAAGCTTTATTTGGGGAATAATGTTTTGTTTATTGTTATTTGTTTATAAACATGATTTCTTGACTTAAAAACATTTTTGATACAGCTGATTGTGCTGCATTTCATTATCCACCCCCACCGCCTGCCCCCCAAAAAATAAAATAAAATTAAAAATTAAAAAATCCACATCTTAAGATGAATGAGATACCAATTTAAGGTTGAGCCTCTTGACTGCATCATCATAACCATGAGAAGCTTGTATTGATCTTCCAACCACTTATCGTAAGTCTTACCATTAAATTTCTTGAAAAAAATTTGGGATATACAAGGCAAGAACCATCAAATTATGGTGTGGCTTTATTTTCCAGAAAAACGGTAAATTTCCTGTTTATGTCTTGAGAAATATGAACAATTATTTACATGACAATTATTTACATGCTTTCCTTAATTGTAGATATGAGATGAAGTTGCTCTTCCCAACTAGCTCGGTGACTTGTTCGTTGAAATAATTTAGGGCTCCAATCATACTCGTTTATATGTTTGACGAAGAGCTTGAACTAGAGGATATGGTTCATACGTGTTCATGAATAAAGCAAGCAACACTAGGCTTAGTTTGGCCAATGCATGTTTGTGTACATCAAGGCATAAGATATTCTTGACTTATATTTACTTATTTCAGATGTTAAAAATAAAATATTTAGATTGATCGCACTTTACTTTTCAAAAGTATCCTTGAAAGGTATTCCTGAATTTCTATAGATAATAATTGATCAAATGAGCAATAATTTATCATTATCAAAGCTGAAGAATGACTTTCTCTGTGATTTTTGATCAAAGATTAAGTTAATTTTCAAACCTCTAAACTGGCAAGCCCGAAAATATGCTGTAGAAACTTAGCAATGAGCACCGATAAATCTGAGCTTGTCTAGATTCTGCTCATTTGCTGCTGTTGAAGTTGACTTCGGGGAAATCCTTCCAAATAAAACCATTGCATGTGATTTTAGGTTATCTTCTTCATCTAGATTCACATTAATTTCAGTTTCATCAATTGTAATAATCAGTGCCTCTAGCGGCCTTTTCAAATGTTTCTCTCACAATTATATTCAACAGACACCATCTTTGGCTAACTCGTGTCCCACGAATATGCTCATTTCTTATGGCTCCTTTTGAGTTACCATGTTTACCTTAATATTATCATCTTAATTATATAAGCACATATTCACATTTTCTACTCTAATTCTGGCATTCCTGTTGTTTACATGATTTTGTTGAATATTTTTTTCAACGTCTCCAAGAAATCTCCAAACTTCAACAGTACCGTATAGACTCAAAGCAACCAACTTCCATCCTTTTTTGAGCTTCCTTTACCTTCACAGCCTAATTCTGTAATAAGGCATATCTACTGTTCCTGAGCTTAATAGATTCTTTGACCAGAGTTCTAGTGCTATCATTTTCATTTAACAATTTCTCGACATCTGCCATCGCTCTCAAATGTGCTTGTCCTCTATTACCAAGACCTTTGAGGTTTTATTTCTAGTGAACTTGAGACTCATGAGTTCTCTAGTTTTATACTCTTTTGAATTCAACTACCTGATAAACCTTTTTTGCTCCTTCATGTCCAATAATTATGCCGTAACATCTTTCATATTTCCTTCTTGAGATTGAACATTTTATCTGATGTATAATTTGAGGACCATACAAGGAACCAATTTGTGGAACTCATGGAATATTTTAAAATCAAATTTGGAGCATCAGTGTCTTGATAAAATGTGTAGCCTGCATTACTTTGAATTTTGAAGGCTTGACAAATGACTCGATGTCTTTCCCCTTAAACAGGTTGAACAGTTGCACAAAATTTTCAAACTGTGTGGATCCCCTCCAGATGATTATTGGAAGAAATCTAAACTTCCTCATGCAACTTTGTTTAAACCCCAACATCCTTATGAGAGCTGTCTTAGGCAGACCTTCAAAGATCTACCAAAAACAGCTGTTACACTGATAGAAACTCTCCTATCTGTGGAACCATACAAGCGGGGAACTGCATCCTCTACCCTGGAATCTGAGGTATTCATAAATATTTCCATTCCTTCTCAAAGTGGTTAATGTTGCACGACTAATCTCAGATGCATAAGCATAACCAAGCTGTATTACTTCATATATATTTAACGTATTTGAGAGGTGTGTGTTCTAGCTATTTTCCTTGCTACGCTTTGCCCAAAAAAAAAATAAAATAATAATAATAAATAAATAAAAATAAGGGAGAAAAAAAGGAGTAATAAATGCAATATTCTCGTGTTTCTGTCAGTTATTTACTTCAGAAGGATCTTTAACATTCATTTTCTTCATATGCAATCTTTAGTATTTCAAGACAAAGCCTTATGCTTGTGACCCATCAAGCTTGCCGAAGTACCCACCAAGTAAAGAAATCGATATTAAATATCGAGAAGATACAAGCAGGTAGGATCCTGGCTATTATTCTATTTGGTTATTTTATTCCCTTAAATTGAATTTTACTTAACACGTTCCTGAATTTTCAGAAAGACGATTGGTGGAAGATCCCGACCTGAAACAAGGAAGCCAACCAGAAAACAGAATGGAATCAGTAAACTGGCACGAGAAGAGGTCTATACATACTAGTTTACTGTATACACGTCCATTTGGGCTTATCTGCATATTACAGAGCCTTATAAATTTTTTATGTTTATGTTTATTTTTATTTTTTTTTCGTCTCTGCAGAAATTGCCTGTTAAAACTCAAGTCAACCGTAAAACTAATGGCAATGCTGCAAATATTCTCAGTGGGGATAAAGAATTACGTCTGGACCTTCCAAAGCCATCAACAGATGGAACAGAAGAGGCGGCATCCCATGTAAAGAACACATCTCAAGGTGATGATACCTATTTGGGTCCTTTACAAGTTTCAGGATCAAGTGGTTTTGCATGGGCAAGGAGACAGATGCATGATTCATCCGTAAGATCTCGGAGTAGGTCTAGTTCTAGAAGTCTAATTTTTGAACCTTCGGAGATGTTGCATTCGAGAAATAATTTGGATTCACAAGTGGAAGAGAACAATGTTGTAAATGGAAATTGTGCCAATTCTAAAGGAAATGACTCTTGTGAAGCCTTCAAGCATTCAATGCTCAAACAGTGGAGGCAATTAGAACGTCCAGATTCCTTTGATATGTCCGACGAGTATCACTCGCAGGAACTGTCAGTTGCATTTTATAATAAAGATGAACGGGCTGCCAAGAGAATCAGTTTGGTAATTACACTGACTTTTTTCAAGTATTATCATTAGTTTTCCAGAAAACTATAACATATTCAGGTTATATAATTTCAATCGAGAAAATAAAACTGAGAAGGAAATTGAACTCGTCCAGCTTCTATCAGTTCTTAACTGTACTAATGCCAAATTTCTAGGTGCTGAAATACATCTATAACCCTTCTGCACATTTCCGTGACTGAAGTAGCTCTGTAAGTTGTTAAGAGAAAATTATTTTTTCTTTTATATTTACTTAATTGAGAGAATCATGTTGATATTATATCAGCTTCAATTTAACAGTAGTAAATGAAGGTAGAATTTTGTGAAGTCAGTTACTTGATAAATTTGTATACCTTGATTTGATCTAACAGTATCAAAAATATGAGTGATATAGTCCCCTGTTTGACAACCACTATTTAAAAACACTTTTTTTTATATACTTATTTTTAACAATACATTCATACAATAAAATATTCTCCATGTAAACTCAAAATTTTTTCTTACTTTTTAACTACTCTCCTAAAAATCACTATTGAAACCATTGTTTTTTAAGAATAACGGCCATCAAACAGAGGCATAGTAAGATTGTGTCGCGGATTTCTATATTGTATTTTTTCCTTTGGGGTTTCTTCTTTTCCTCAATCTATGAAGTAAAAGATATTAATTCTTATGCATTATTTGTTTCAACTTCTTTATTTGTTCTAAATGGGACTTGAAACAGGTTTATCAGAATCAGGAGGAGAAGGTTGAATTTTCAGGACCCTTGCTCTCTCAGTCACAAAGAATAGACGATCTCTTAGAGAAACATGAGCGTCACATTCGCCAAGCTGTTCGAAAATCATGGTTCCAAAGAGGTTGGATATTTTTCTTTAGAAAGCTAGCTATGCAATGAATTGCTCTTAGAGAAATGCTTCGCTCGATTTAACTTTGAGCTTATCCAAGCCATTTTACAAAATTCTATAAATTTCCAAAGACAACAATATCTGCTTATCCTGTATAAAATCTGAAATACACTGCCATCTGATGTGCTCTCTTGAAACACCGAGCATAATGCTAACTTGCTCAAGCCATTTGGCTAACAGGCAACGGCCTCTTTCTTCTACCACTTTCTGCATGTTATTTGTATCCCCTTTAAGCTGTGAATTTGAATATCGATATTTTACCTTGTCCTTACACTATAGCTATTGCTTTCAGTTTCCACTGACAATTTTCAGAGGAACCTATTGAGTGAAATTTTGTAGATATCCTCGAATTTACTGAACTTCATATAGTTTGTCTGATTTATAAATGCAAATATTTTATTTTATTTATTTTTATTTATTTTTTTGTTGCAGTCAAGAGAAATGAAAAGTAATTGCATGTAATACTCGACTCAAGCGATTCCTGTGATGAGATCTTGGCAACGGGAATTGAAATTAAGCCAACTCGATAGTTGACAGATTTACTGATACACAATGTTGCCTTTGATGAAAAGGATTGAATGAGGACTATGACCAACGAGGTTGAGGAGCCAAACTGATTCAGTGAGTCTGATATACAATCAAACAAGATGATCATAGGGCTCCATATTATTGCCTTTATTAGTACCCTTTGACATCTTGTTGAATCATTCTCCTAAGTTACTAATGTATAGGAAATATATGGTAGTACCACAAATCTTGGTGATCGTTTCATGCTTGGTTGTTGGTGTAATGACTCTAATTGTATACTCATCTCTAGGCTAAAGCGTAGCTTGTGAATTTATAACCAATTGGACACCTCCTCGTATAAGTCACTTTTAAAGGCGAGTTCTGTCCAATGTGGTGGTTACAATTTGTACAAGAGCCGGCACCCTTTTGGGGATGACCAACGTGTGACCTAGGGAGGGTTATTTCTTGTAGAATTCTGGTTCCATGAAGTCACTTAGTTGCGAATATAGATCGTGGTGGGTGTCGATTCTGAAAGATGGGCGGAATTTAATGATCTTAATTGTATTTCACGTCGCTCGATTAAGGGTTTGTTTGTAGTTTATTTGCAGTTGGTGGTAAGGCAAAATTAGTTTTTGAGTTGAATTATTGAATAAATTGAATTCTTGAAAATTGAAAATGAAATTAATAGACAGTAATGTGGTACGGGAACACTTTTTCTTTTTCTCGTTCTTGTATGAAAGGACTTTAGGCATTTAATATATTATCATATATAAATCAAACGAAATGGAGAAATCATTTTTTTTTTTTTTTCTTTTCAATATTGTCATTGTTACAAGTATTTATCTATTTCTTATGGCCTTTTTAAGTATTTATTTTCTGGAATTCATTTTTTAACCATTCTTGGCTACTTGTAATATTTGAAGTAACAAATAAATTCTGTTTTGGGGCTCAAATTAATAAATAATTAAAGAAATAGATTGAAAGGTTTATCTGGCCAACAACTAGTATATTGGTTTATTCTTGGAAGGCAAGAGTATCAAGCCTCGGGGCACTTCTCCACTGACAAAGGACGGGCTCTATCAAATCTGGCAGATCAGAGGTCGTGAGTTCGATTCATGAGGCTCTTGGAAGGCAAAGATTTATTCTTGGAAGGCAAGAGAAATCTTGGAAGGCAAGGATTATTCTTGGAAGGCAATGTGCAACTTGGATTGGCTTGCTTGACACTTTGGCAGATCAGTGGGGGAGGGCTTGGACCCTGGCTAGTTGGAGGCACATCCCGCGATTAACTGGACTGTATGAAGAGGGGTTGGATCACAGACCCAAGAATTAGTCAAGAATTGAACACCTTGTAAAAAAAAAAAAAGGCAATATATTTTGGTACAAGGCAGATAATGGCTTTTAGCTGAAAAGTGACAATGGATTTTAGAAAGCAACTTGAGGAACTTGACCGTTGATTGGGTCGAGCTAGGTACAAAGAAGTACGAAATAGTATACTTATGTTTTGATTTATGGAGTACGAAAAGTTCACAAAGGTAAAATTAGTCAATATTGCTATATCCTAATCGCTCGGCTCCCTCAAGAATAGGAGGCAATAATAGAGCAAATTTACCAAAGAATAATCTGTTTCGAGTGTTTTACACAACCTTGTGGCAAAAGATTAGACGTTCCCCCATCCCTAGGCAGACCCCAAATTTGTATTAATTGGGCATGAAACGAGTAGAAACTAACTAAAAGATTGAATCCCAACCTTAAGGGTTCCCCACCGCCCCGCCCCTAAAGCATCGTGAGAGAGATTAATCGTGAGATGTGTCCCAACAGGTCAGGAAACAAGAGTTGTTTGTACACTAGTGTCCACAAAGAGTTCCAATTCATGTTTCAGAAATCGAACCATCACACTGCAGCTGCCATCAAGGTTGAGTATACCTCACCCTTGTCCTTGAGCCCACGTCCATAAGATATTCTTTTCTTATTCAAATTATATTTGTTTTTCCATACCTGTGGGCCGGTCTACATGTGCATACCATATGCACCAAGCTCGCTGCCTCGACCAGAGTATCAAGCCTACTTTGACACCTCTATCTCGATGTGATGAGATTGATCCCATTCGCAACTCTACGTTACATAGAAGATTCAAAGAGACGTAATATAACACAAGTTTCGCTTTTTTTATTCTTATTGAGTTCAACGTACTGAACCAACCATATACATTTAACGGGATATAAAATATAAAGTATAGCCCATCAAGTGGATTCGCATCACTCGGATAATACAATGAATTACAAAATCTACATCCTTCGGACTTCTTACAGAAGCTGTCCATCCACATTTGCAAAGCGGACTAAGGCCGAGAAATAAAGAAAGTTAATCAACTTTCTTGAATCAAAACTATATAATCACGTTTACCAACTTTATTGACAGAATTTGTGTGTAAAATGAATGGAATTGGATGATCCTCTTCGATTTCTGAAAACAAGTTCTCCTGATCAATCTTGAATTCTGTTCTGCAACTCTTTAAAAACGTGCAACCAACGATGGTATCTAGGACGACTAGGATTGCGTATAAGTAGGCAATGAAAAAGCCCTCGAAAACCATGGACGAATTGGGAAAAACAGCACCGTTATAAGCTCTTACTACGCGGTATTGAAACAAAGATTCGATGGAAGCCATGGCTATATTGAAAGGAAGGGCTAATGACAATGCTGTTCCAGTTCGACCCCGGATCAGGAAAAAGGCCTCGAGAATCGTTATAAATCCCCCGCGCTTCTCCATTCCCGACAACACGATTGCCAAGTTGCATAAGACGTATGCATTGGCAAGAATTACCGAATAGATAATTATACCGAGCGCTGAGAGAAGTAGGAAGTGTCTCGGAGAAGAAAGGCCTAATATATCGAAAGAATTGAATGCCATGAGTAGAAGAGAGAAACAAGTAGCATTTGCAGAAAGGATGACTAATGAGTTGCAAATTTGTGTGAGATAAAGGGATTTGAAAAGTTTGTTCCAAGAAGAAAAGTGCCTATTTTCTTGATATAAAAGGGCTTTTATTATCAATGCCTTGGCAAAGAGGAGAAAAGTGAGACTAAAGGGGAGTACAAGAAGAAATGAGACAATGGTTTGAGAGAGTTTGAGATTGAGAATATTGAACAAGTCGGACGAAGGAGGGAAGCCTGCAGCGAGGAAAAGAGTTCGTAGGCGGCCATGGACTAATGCGAAAAAGGGAGACGACGGCAAGGAAGCTTGAGACACAAGAGTCGAACCTGCAAAAGGAAAAGCCAAGATTGCTGCTGTTGAAGTGAAAAACTGACAGTTTTGAAGAAAAGTGAAGATTGATCTTCTGATAATCCTGCCTGTTTTCTCCATTGGAAAAGAGGAGAATTCTTCCATATGAAATGAAGATGATCGCTCTAGTTTATATGGATCTTGGAATGGTGATTTTAATGTTTTTTTTTTTATGGTAGTTTGAAGGTGTTCTAACAATTGATGCGTTGAATAAAACGGTTTGGCCAACAACTAAAAACCAACAGCACCTAGATGTGGAGTTGTTTTCACCATTATTTTGTCTGTTTGGACATTTTATTTGTGAACTCCAAACCCCTATATTAGTTGGTTGGCTTGAAAGAGTACTTTTCCAAGATGATATCATATATTAATAACAATTTTAAAATAACGTGATTCCACTTGGTATCGCTACACATAGAATTAATGGTATTTTATGGCATTATGCTATTCTAGATCAGAAAATGAACAAGATTTTTGCTTCGTTTCCTTTCTTTACTGTTATTATTGTCCAGATTTTCTTGACAATTCTAAACGTGCTTTGAATGTACAAAAACAGAAATTACGGATTTTTTTTTAATTGTACTAAGAAGAATTTATTTATGCAATACTAATTATTTTATAGCTATCTTTGTACAGTTCATGTGTTTCACTCGATATATCAAGAAAGACATAACACGTTTTATGCATATATATGCATAAAATAAACATGTGTGTTTCACATTCTTAAATAAAATAATATTACGCACAAATTCAAAAAAAAAATTCTTATTTTTTAACCACTCATTCTCTATCAATTTATTATTTCAGAATGCATTATTCAATAAAAATGGGGCTCAAACATGCTCACATTTTTACAAGCTATTAAAATACTTTTAAGAAATTAAACTCAATTTATAATATTTATATTGTGGGCGTGTCTTGCTTGCCTTTTTATTATATTGCTTGCACATGAAAATAGGTCTTTTTAAGATGTCTTCAAATGCACTCTCGGATGCAATAACACTGTTATTTTACTTTTGAAATTTGTCCTTTGCGTGTAGGTTAAGTGCTCGGCTATTTATTTCTCGTCTTTTCTTTTCACTTTTCATTTTTAATAATTTGAGCTAAATAAGAACAAAATTTCAAAAATAATTTCTAGCTTATCGGGATATTTTCAAGATTCACATGTTTTGTAAGAATGGAAAAACAAAATTTTGGTGTCCAATTATTTCTAGCTATGGATTTTTTTTTATAAATTGGGTGAAAAAGAAGAATAATGCTACTCATATTAAAAACTATCGACAGTCGCGCTATGTGGCATATATATGATTGTTTTTTATTTGATACTTTAATATAATAGTTTTTTATTACCTTATGCATCAAATAACAAATTCTCATATGTATGCCATATAGAATAATTATCGACAGTTTTCACTAAGAATTGTATTATTTAAAAAAAAATCCGTCCATCTATTGCATGAAGTTCAGCAATCCACTTGAAATTGAAAATTATATCTTTAATTACTAAAAATTTCCTTTTCTTATATCTAATGTATTCTTATAAAAAAAATAAAAAATACAAAGATGCTTCTTTTTTTCGAAGTAATTCTTAGACTTTGCACACTTATCATATCTTTATTAAGGATATTAATTTCCATCATTCATATACGCTAATTTATTTTTGGATTATACTACTCGTACATAAAAGTGATACAAAAGGATTATATAAAATGAGTGAATGGAAAATATTGGATAAAAAAATTGACTGTATTTTAAACTGACAAATGATGAAACGATATGTGGCATTACGTAACTTATTATATAAAGTTTGATGTACATGTAGCAAAATTTTTTATTTTTTATTCTATAATTAATTATAACTCCAAAAAGTCACTTAAACTTAGGAGGAATGTCAATTATAAGTTGAAAGTCTTAGTCTCAAAAGAGAATATTTTGAATAATGAATGCAAAGCATCAAATGACTATCATCAGACATCATGTCATTACAAGTATTAAATCGTTATTGTTGATGATGAGAAGTCGACATGATGAGGTTGGTGCTCTCTGCCCAAAGCTGAGGTGGTATCTCTTTTTCTATCTTCTTTTTTAGATTTGAAGGAAGCCAGGTTGGAAGATATAAATGAAATAAAACGACAATATTTTGGGTAATGGTTTATTATTATTATTATTAATTGTATATTTGTATTCGCTTATGATAACGTGTAACGTTTTTTTAGTAAGACATTTGTAAAAAGTATTTCAAATACGCG